CTTACGAAGAATTCAAGATTAATGTAACACGTCTCGAATGGCTTATGCCCTATGTGACTGCATCGAATGCAAAGAAAATACGTCTACTCGACTTTCTAAAAAGCGAACGAAGTATTTCAATGAGTTTTCGTAGTTGGGAACTGTACGAATATCCAGCGCTGCCTGCAAACACAAATCACGTCTGGACAGTTAAAACGACAAATCAGTTGGAGAAACCACGCTACGTCATCTTAGCCTTCCAAATCAATCGAAAAAATGAACCAAACTCTAACGCTAGTATATTTGATCATTGTAACATCAGAAATGTAAAACTGTACCTCAACTCTCAGTGCTATCCATACGGTAATCTCAACATTGATTTCAGTAAGAACCAGTACGCAATGTTGTACGATATGTATGCCAATTTTCAAAACGTATACTACGGTAAGGATGCCGAACCGATGCTCAAAAAACTCGAATATAAAAATTACATGCCACTCGTAGTGATTGACTGTTCGAAACAAAACGAATCATTAAAGACTGCTCCAGTAGATGTGCGCTTGGAGTTCGAAACCAGAGAAAATATTCCCGAAGGAACTACAGCGTATTGTCTTATTCTACACGATCGCATCGTTCAGTATAATCCGATAAATGGAGATGTGAAGAAACTTATTTAGGAGGGGGGGGGGGGGGGGTATTAAAGAATTGACTCTTTCCTTAAGCAGCTCAGTAGTAGCTTTCTATCGCAATGGAGTACGTAGTGGATATGCAAGGCTTCATGATGCCTGGCAAAACTTATGCCGTGAAAGAGTTAGCGATACTCCCACTAAACTACAACGAAGAACCGCTCGTACGCTTGTTCAAACCTCCCTTTCCATGGCGAAGGCTAACGGAGAAATATAAGCGAGAAAATCTCTGGTTAGAACTCTACTATCATGGATTAACATGGAACTCTGGCGATTATAAATACGAAGAGCATAAATTCATCATCACGGATACACTCAAAGATGCCACAAAAATTTTCGTTTCTGGAGATTTGAAAAAAGAGTGGTTAGAACGATATGGCCTCAAAGTTTTCGATTTGAATGATTGGGGCTATTCGCCTTTCGAAAAATTAAAATCAGTTACCGTGTGCCCTAATCATAACGGCAAATACGTAACGACATGTGCACATCAAAACGTTAAAATAATGAAAAAGTTTTATATTGATGGCTGTTGTATGGATTGGGAAGAGAGCGATGAAGTCGTTGAAGGATTTCTATAGTGATTTTGTTTTTAAGTAAATACTTTGTAGAATAATATGTATTTTTTTTTTAAGAACATGTAGAATAAGATATATTTTTTATCAATAAAAAAATTTTGTTTCAATTGATACAAAAAAATATTCTTTTATTTTTTATTAAACCATCCAACAAAAAAAAAAGCGAAATTCTTCGCTGACTCTGACGATGACAGCAGCAGCAGCAGCAGCAGCAGTTCATCTTTTTTATAATAAATTTTGTATTTTTTTATCAACAAAAAAAAATTTATACAACATAGAATTTAGACAAAAAAATGTTTATTTATTAGTTGAGGTGGTGTACAATGATGACATGTATAAATATGATTATTTCTTCTTTTCGTTATTGAACTGCTGATAGCCTTTTTGTCCAGGAAAATTTTTAGTATTGCTCGAAAATTTGGAAATACTTTGTTTCCATGTCGATGATTCTTTGTTCTTCTTTTCGTCCGGGTCTTCCTGTGGAAGACGAGAGTACTTTACTTTAGAGTAGCGATCCATTTTATTGGAATGCTGGTTGATGAAAGATTCGATAATTCTTACACTGTGCTATTTATAGTAGCTTACAACCACGAAGTCTACAAATAAAAGAAAGTAAGCAGGTACTTGCACGTTTTTTTCTATTAAACCATCTTCGGTAGATGAGACACGCATGCACGCACACACGCGCGCCCGCGCGCACACATCGAACATAAAAAATTATTATTCGTTATATACCAATTATAATAAATATTTATTAAAATTTATTATCATTTGTATGTATTAGCGCTTGGGCCCTCCCCAGCAGCAGCAGCAGCAGCCGCCGGCGCCGCCGCCCCCCCCCCCCCACATATCAATCGCGTGTGTAGCCAGTATACACAATACGGTATTGCCCGTGGTAACAGTGGCTGTAGCTCTAGCGGTAGAGCATCGGCCTGCGGATCCGGAGGACGCGCGTTCGATCCCCCGATCCGTCCGTTTTTTTTTCAGATAAATCTAAAAATTTTTAACACACGCGCGCACACGCGCGCACACACACACACACACACACACACACACACACACACACACACACAATAAAACAATCAAAACGCGTAACACAGAACACGCGCGTAGTGCATAGGAATCAAATCAGTGGGAGAGGGGGAAATGCAGAGAACGCACGCCACATCAGATCAAGCCACATCAGATCAACTCAGTAGGGGAGGGGGAGTGCGTAGAACGCACCGGTATACGCCACATCAGATCAACTCAGTAGGGGAGGGGGGAGTGCGTAGAACGCACCGGTATACGCCACATCAGATCAACTCAGTAGGGGAGGGGGAGTGCGTAGAACGCATCGGTATAACTCAGTAGGAGGGGGGGGGGGTGAATCGACAGTGCACGGGCCGATCGGGAGGGGGGGGGGATGAGGTGAATATGCACACACCTCAACTCACACGCTTCAACTCAGTGAGCTAGTACCCCTCTGAGTTGATGCCCCTCTAGTTTACCTACTCAATATCAATTAAAATAATACAATTGTGATTTATTTCTTGTTTCAGATTATTTTGGCTATTGGTTAGAAATATATTATGAACCAAAATTGACCAAAGCCCAAATGAAGAAATATGATAGAACCATAGAAATAGCCTGTTTTCGCGAATATGCAACAAAGAAAATAGCATACATGAAAAAGCCAAAAAAGGCAAAGATAAATAAGAAAAACTTAAGGAAGTCTGAAGATTTTGAAGAACAGGAACCAACGAATAACGAAACCGGCGGAACCGACCCATTACAACTGAATTCTGACATTGAAACAGAATTAAACTTAGAAAATATATTTGATGAGTCTTGGTTGGAATCTTCAAGTGATGATGAGGATTAGAATAATTAGTAACATCTGATTATTCTAATAATCTTTATTCTTTATTTATTAAGTCGTTTGAATTTAGAAATGTTAATAATTTATTCACTATAGTGTACATCATTATTTATATAATTTATATATGCTATTGAGTTACCCTTAACTTATTTATTGAAGTATTTATTGAAAAACATTACGTATAACAGATAATACTTACATTCTACTTGCATACTTACATTATAAGTATTTATTTTATAATTGTAATTGTTTCTACTTTGTTCAAATTAAAATAATTTGATAATAAAAAGGAATCCATTTATTTCCGAATTGAAATTTATTACAAATGATTAATTCCTATAAAAAAATATTTATGTAAAAACAGTATTGAAAGCGATTCAATATAATTATATTGAATTGCTTTGAATACTGCAATGAATGTGTTTTAATAAATAATTAATTTTTAATTTGAATTTATTAAAAGAGATTCATTTCTTTTAAAAATATGCCTGCACATACATGTAGAATATTCAAAGTGATTCGATATCAACTACTCGAATTTTTTTTAAGGGATTGAATGTCATTAAAAGCAATTCCTGTACATATGAATATCCATATTAAAAGCAATTCAATAATTTATTTAAATATATTCAAAATTTTTTAAATTAATTAAAAATTATCAATATATTACTTATTTTCTATTAAAAAGAATTAAAATCCATTGCGTACATGCTAGTTTTAATATAAAAAATGATTCACTGTCCACCAAATACTAAAAAGCATCCAAGTTTATTTAAAAAAATTAACCCTTTAACGCCTGAATTGCAGTTCTTCAGTAGTCCATGTTTGAGGTAGTGCCAATCAACGTAAAAATGATAAAAATGTCTGAAAATTCATACTCGACTATTTTCGGGTATGCTCTTTCGATTGGCGTGGTTAAAAATTTAAAAAAATTTAAAAAAACCATTAAATTTTGCAATTTAAATAAAAAAAGCACGATTTTTACAATACATTTTTTTTCAAACTCGATTTTCACCTGGAACCACCTGTTCATTTCACGCAGAACCTTTCAAAATCGTGCAATAATACCTCGAACTTAAAAGTTATGGACTTATGATAATAAATTTTGGCATAAAAAATTCAAAATGGCGCCCAAAATGGGTCAATGTCAGGGTACATTTTCATTATTTTTTTTTTCACGAACGGTCAATTTTAGAAAAAAATTGTATAGAATAAAAAGTGTTTAGAATCACTCAAAAAATACGCCTGAATTTTTTCAAAATAGTTTAAAGACTTTTTTAATTTTTTTTAAAAATTGTTAAATTCAAAAATCCAAAAACTTCTCAAAAAATTCTGAAAAAATTCACACTTACTCTTTGAACGATTTTAAGCAACTTTTCTTCTATAAAATTTTTTCCTAAAACTGATCATTGTTGACTAAAATGGGTTAAATAGAAAAAATTATTTACTTGTTGAACGAAATTACATTTCTGTCCACAAAGCAAATTTTTTTAACATTCTTTATTTAGTTTACTTTCCTTACTTTTTCTTTTCTTTTTATTTTAAATCTGTTTTATATATTTTTTATAAAATGTAGCAAGTATATCAAAGTTAGTTATTTTTATTCGATTACTTATCATAATAATCAGTATAATTATGTGTGATTACCATATTCTTGATTCTCACATATTATAGGGATTAATTTTACTTTATTTATTTTGAAGATTTAAAATATTGCTAATGATTTTTTTCTGAACCGAAAATGTCGCAATTATTTCAAAGATAGTTTCTTTTATTATTTTTCATGTGCTCTATAATTATACGTGATAATTCTAACATATCATAGTAATTATTTTTACTTTATTTGTTTTCAATATTTTAAATATTTCTACTGCTTTGTTTCTGAAACATATTGTAAAAATGCCAAAGAGAAAAAATGAAACATCGGCTTCTGCTACTGTTTCAAAAAATCGTCATAAAAAGAAATACAAGGTATCGTCTAGTTCGATAGAATTTGATGAAGAAGAAAATTATGATGAAGCTGTTTTTATTCCAAATCCAGATAGTTCTGGCGAATCTGATGGTGATGATTCACGTTACGAAAATGACGATTTTGATGATTCTGAAAATGAAGTCGAAGAGTTTTTTCCAAGTTCATCTTATAGAAAAGTTCTCCAAGGATATGAACCTTCCCAGAAAAAACTTGAAGATGACCATCAATTTGTTTGGGTTGACGGAGAAAAGAAATATCATTCTAATCTGAAAAATGAAATATTACTGTCAGAAAAAGATAAAAACTTCATTTCCCAATGCTCTGACTCCAAACTATTCGAATTGTTCTTTTCTACAGATATCAAACAATATATAATCGAAGCTACTAAAATAAATGGATATGATCTGACTCCGGAAAAATTGAATGCATTTTTAGGTATAATAATATTTACCATGTTCAACAAACGTTTATCCCAAAGAGATTATTGGTCAAAAGATCCTTTTCTTGGATGTGCTTTAGTACCTAATGTTATGAGTCGCGATGAATTTGAGGAGATAAAGTCAAAGCTCAAGTTGTCCAAACCAGAAGACGAAGATTCTAACGATAGAGTCTGGCGTGTTCGATCTGTTTTCAACATTTTTAGAAAAAATCTTCTTATTTTTGGAGTTTTTGCAACGGCTCTTTCGATCGACGAAATGATGCTAAAATTTTTTGGAAAAACTGTGTTGAAGCAATTCATCAAATCAAAGCCCATTAGATTTGGTATCAAACTATGGGCTTTATGTAGTGCAAACGGGTATGTGTTTGACTGTGACATATACTGCGGAAAAAACTCTGAAAATAATGATTTTTTACCAAAATGTGCATTAGGCAGCCGTGTTGTCATGCAAATGTTGCAAAATGTTTTGGAAAATATATCAATTAAAAAGCTGAGTAAGTACCACGTTTATTTCGATAATTTATTTTGCTGCCCTGATTTATTAGTACATCTACACAAAATTGGAATACAAGCAACAGGCACGGTTCGAGAAAATCGTATCAATGTAAAAAACAACGTTGACAAAAAAGATAATAGAGGTACATATGCAGTCAAACATGATACAGAAAGTGGTATCAACTTTATAACTGTTGTAGATTCTAAGCCAGTTTCTATTTTGTCAACTGCCGCAGGTGTTACTCCTCTTTCTATAGTAAAACGTTTTGACAAGGAACAAAAGCAGAAATCTGACATATCATTCCCCCATGCATTTTCGGTGTATAACAAATTTATGGGCGGAGTTGATATTCATGACCAGCGATGTAATAAGGTTGTGCCTATTGTGCGTTCGAAAAAATGGACTTGGATTATACTCATGAGAATGATTCAATCAAGCATCACCAATTCTGTAGTTTTGAGAGACTTGACCGATTCAGAAGATAAAAAACACTCTACAAAAAGCTTTGCACTCTCATTAGCTAAACATTACATGGCGAAGAAGGATTTCAAAGGACATAAGTCAGAGATTGTACAAAAGTTTAGATATTGTTCGGGAGAAAAATGTGAAAAGCGAACAAACAGGATTTGTGAAAATTGTGAATTGTATTTTTGCAAAATATGTTTTGATACAATCCACTGATAGTCATTTAAAATAACTTTTTAAAGTTTAAAAAACGTAAACCTTTTAAAAAAATTATAAAAAAACGTAAAAAAAATTAAAAAAAAATAAATAAAAAAAAAAAAAAAAGAAGAAGATTCTCGGAAATCGTCCACCTCCAAGTGGTGAGAATCGGGCAAGATTGTTGATAAAGACAATGGCAAAGGGCGATCTTGATCTCTGGATTATATACTTACAAATATTACACCCAGACTTGTATATATATGCCTGTGTGTGTATGCAGATTTTCGGCCATGTAGTGCACGAATAATTTTTTCTATTTAACCCATTTTAGTCAACAATGATCAGTTTTAGGAAAAAATTTTATAGAAAAAAAGTTGTTTAAAATCATTCAAAGAGTAAGTGTGAATTTTTTCAGAATTTTTTGAGAAGTTTTTGGATTTTTGAATTTAACAACTTTTTAAAAAAATTAAAAAAGTCTTTAAACTATTTTGAAAAAATTCAGGCGTATTTTTTGAGTGATTCTAAACACTTTTTATTCCATACAATTTTTTTCTAAAATTGACCGTTCGTGAAAAAAAAAATAATGAAAATGTACCCTGACATTGACCCATTTTGGGCGCCATTTTGAATTTTTTATGCCAAAATTTATTATCATATATAATCTAACTTTTAAGTTCGAGGTATTATTGCACGATTTTGAAAGGTTCTGCGTGAAATGAACAGGTGGTTCCAGGTGAAAATCGAGTTTGAAAAAAAAATGTATTGTAAAAATCGTGCTTTTTTTTTATTTAAATTGCAAAATTTAATGGTTTTTTAAATTTTTTTAAATTTTTAACCACGCCAATCGAAAGAGCATACCCGAAAATAGTCGAGTATGAATTTTCAGACAATTTTATCATTTTTACGTTGATTGGCACTACCTCAAACATGGACTACTGAAGAACTGCAATTCAGGCGTTAATGGGTTAATTTAATCATGATAAATTATATTGAATATTATTTAAATATCGTTCAGAAATTCAAATCATTTTTAATCGTGAATCTGTATTTCAAAATATGCGATTAAAATAAATTTAACGTAACGATAATTATTCATTGGATTTCATTGAATAAAATTCATTTTATGAAAAGATTTGAGATTGAAAGCTATTGAACATTATTGAATTTAATAATCTTTAATCTTAATTAATTCTATCGATTCGAATCATTTTGAATTATTTTGCTTCCGTGGCTTATTTTTTTCAATTGGCTTATGTGGGATACAAATTCACGATTAAAAGTAATTAGTTTTTTTTAATAACTTTTAATAGAACATTTTTAGCAGGGTTCTCTTAGTTTTTGAGCTATTTCGGAAAAACGTTTATTGACCTCATCCACTGTTTCTCCAAAGATGATTATATCGTCAATAAAAACAAAGCATGTATTGGCGATTAAATCCCCCAAAATTGTATTAAGAATTCTTTGAAATGTTCTAGGCGAGTTTACTAATCCGAATGGTAAAACGAGAAATTCAAATCTTCCTAATGGATGTATGCTAAAAGCTGTTTTGAAGATATCTTTCGGGTGCATTGCTACCTGATGGAAACCGGATTTTAGATCGACAACATGATAAAATTTGGCTTTCCCGAGTTGATCAAATATTTCTGTTATGTTTGGAATTAAATTTTTCATTCAATTTCCTGTAGTCAATTACTAATCGCCATCTAGCTTTCCCGTCTGCTAAGCTCTTTTTCTTCACTACCCATGTTGGTGCATTGAAAGCACTTTTCGATTTCCTTATTAAATTATTAGATATCAATGATTTTACTTCTTCAATAGCAATGTCCCGTAATTTGTGTGGCAAGGGAAATTGTTTGACGTAAACCGGTTTGTTGTCTGTTAAATTAATTTCATGTTGTTCTATATTACATGTTCCTAATCTGTCGCCATCGGCCCAAAATACATCTTCGTTATCCTCAATAAGTTCTTTCATTATCTTATAGTTGTTTCCGACTAAATCTCTCAAATTTATTTTTTCTAATACTTTTTCCTTGTGGTTTAATTGATTTCCTTCAATTTTTTCTTGTTCCTCTCCTAAAAAATTTATGCTCCCCGCGTATACAATTTCATTTTCATTGACGTTCAAATCTATATTTTCCGTTAGTTCAATACTGTTTGGAAAGTTTTCTAAGTCGAAAGATAAATATTGATATGTTTGGATTTCTTCTGAAACAGTATTTTCCGAAGGGAATTCTATTCCTATATTTTCTTTTATAACCGATATAAATTGTTTATAATCGTAATTGTCTGCATAATCATCCTTTGTGTTAGTCATTTCATGAGTACTCATTGCTACATTTATATCGGTAATCATGTGTTCTATTTTGGAAGGGTCTTTCTCTAATTCAGCTTCCAAGTTCGTTATTCCGTTGGAAGAAAAAGGTATTAGTAATGAGTTTTTACAATTTTCGATCTCGCGTTCTACTTTTAAATCTTTGGCAGTCATTATTTCATTATTTATTTTATCCGTTGTTGTTGTGCAAGGAAATGTAACAGATTCGGGGTCCTCTAGTATATTTTCTCTTTCTAGTGGATGAAATTTGTTATTTTCCTCAAAGATTTTCGATTCTTCCTAGTGTTTTTCTTTTTCGTTTTTTGTTTTATTTTCCTTATTAATGCCATGTACAATTTTACTTAAAAATCCCTTTTGTTCTTCTGTTATCCTTGATTCCTCTTTCTTTTTGTTTTCGGTAAAAACGATTGAGTTCATTTGAGTTAACGGTATTGATACAAGTTTTATTTTCCTACTATTTATTTCCAAATAACCTTCATCTAATCTTAACTTATTTTCTTTCAGAACAGGTATGCCAAGAATGCCATCATAAGGGATTGAAAATTCTCTTGGTACAATATGAAAATCAATTAACAACCCATTAATTGTTATTTTTATCAAACCTAATGTTTGAATTGTTTTATCAGTAATACCGGATAATGATATTTTTTTTTGAGTCCAAAATAGCGTTTGATGGTATACAATCGCTTTTTATGATATTGATTTGAGCTCCGCTATCTATAAATAAATTAAAATTAACACCCGAAAACGGATTCGGTACCTGTATGTATTGTAACAAATTTTTTAACTTTAGGAAATACATTGGCATTTTAGTTTCAATGATACTTGTAAGTTCTATATTGCTATTACATTCATTATAGAGTTTCTTTTGTTTGTCATTTCGGAGGCATACTTTATTATTTTTTTCCGTTTTGGTTTGCGACTCATATTGTCTTGTTAAATTTAATGCGTGAGTTTCATTTTGATCATCAATGTCCATTTTCCGTGTTGTCGTTATTTCGTCTCTTAATTCTGCAGCAAGTGACTTTTTATTTGTTTCCTCCGTGCACTCATGTTCGGAAGAATCTATTCATTTCCCTGATTATTACGTCTAAAACAAGTCGACTCTGTATGATCGGTACGTTTACAAATTGTACAAAATTTTTCTTGGTTATTTTCTAGTGATTTTATAATTGGACATGATTCGACTTTATGACCTGATTCCTTGCAATAAGTACAAATATTAGTGTTTTTTACGTTTCTTTCTAAAGCTCTCAATTTCAAACAATTGTCAATTACATGATTATTCATGTGGCAATAATCACACTTAGTGTCATTATTTCTTTTCCCAAAATTATTGAATCGTGAAGGTCCGTTATCGTGATTAAAATTTCCATTTCTGCGTTTATTGTCACTAGAATTTGTATTTGATCTGATTTTATTATCGTTACTTCTATTGTTCTTACTATAGCTAACCAGGATTCTTGCCAATTCACAATTATTTGCTTCATGATCTTTTTCTTGAGAGATTGTACATATTGCAAATCTACGTTCTTTCGTTTCGTCCGCGTTTGGGCAATATTTTACTGAGTGACCGATTTCATTGCAACGTCTGCATGTCACATTTGGGCAATTGCGTATCGTATGGTCACTGCTGTCGCAAACAGCGCAAAAGTTCGTTGATTTGAAAGATTTTGAACAGCTGTGCGGGGTGTGTCCGCTTTCCTTACATTTCCAACATACTTCAAATTCTATAATAAATGGGCATTGTGTAACTGTATGACCCATCACCTGACAATATTGACAATGATTTCCTTTAACTCTGTTAAATTTGCAACCGTCTATAGAATGCCCCTGAGCATTACAGAATTTACATATCAATTCGATCTTTTTATTTACAATTTTACAATTGTTTGACAGGTGATCTTTGTTCTTACAATATACACAAGCTCCTTTATAACAAAATAAAGCTTCATGGTTATAGTCCTGACAAATTTGACAATTATATATATGAGTAACATTTGTTGAAGCAGTAACCGAGTCTACATTACTATGAAAGGGACTAGCGATATCACCCCTCAATAATCTTTGTTTTTTTAAATTTGTTTCAATTTCAATAGCGTCTTGTAAAGCAGTGCCCAAATTAATGTGATTTCCTAATTCCAGACGAATGTCTTGTTGTAAACCTTGTTTAAAAATTTTTAACGCGTCAGCATTTAATACTGTTTCATACGTTTTGAAATCTTCGTCAGTTACATCTGCTTCTAACTTTTTCATTTCTTTAATTTGCAAAACTATTTCCTGTAAACGGTTCGCATATGCTAAGACGGGTTCATTTGGTTTTTGGATGATTTCCGTAAATTTCCCATATAAACTATGAATATTGTCAAAGGAGGGAAATAGCTGCCTTATCACTTTGATATAATCATTTATCTTATCTATTTTGATGTTTACTAATGCTTTATAAACTTCTCCGCCCAATTTAATTTTCAGAATTGATATTAAACTTGGTTCATCTAACTCAGAAACAATTGTTTTTACGTGTTTCAATTTTTCAATATATTCATTAGTTGTCATATTTTTTCCATCAAACTTT